GGGAACACAAGCACAAAACACCACACAACAGCCCGGGACAGATGCAGTATGCCCCAGGTATTGGGAGTAAGGGAGCCACTACCAACAGCTTTCTTAAGTAAGTCTTTTGGACTGCAAAGTATTTCTTTTCCAAATAAACTGAACGAACCATTTCATTTTCCCTGCATGAACAGAATGTTTCCTTTTGAATTTGTTTTACCAGTTCTGTTTCAGAACTTACAGACATTTAATTTCAGGTTTTTCTTTTCCACCAAATATTCCATCATAGCTTCTTCAACTTTTCAGTAACAATCTTACTTTTTTATATGAAGTACCAAAAATTAAGCCTTCTTTATGTGGAATTAGACTTAAATGGAATCAGTTATTCCAAATCTGAGGAATTCAGCCAGGAGGAAGTTGACTGCAAAGCACCACACACAAGGCTGCACCTTTCACGAACTGGTGGTGTTATCCCTACAGTTCTATCCATTTCTCTGCCTCAGGAAAGGAGGTCCCAACAAGAGACCTTAGATTTCAAACTTTAAGAAACTACCCACAAAGAACAACATTAGGACATATTTTTTAAATTAATATCATTAATGATTTGCTGCACTTTGGGGCTTGGATATGATTTGCTCTACCTTAATAAGAGGATTGGACTGGGTCATTTCTTGAAGTCCCTTCTAGCCCCATACTCTGAGATTGCAAAACTTGTTCCTGGGGGCCATCCATGGGCAAAAAAGAACCAGACCACCACCACCATCCAAATCCTTAATTTTGTCAGTATAACATCTCCTAAAGATTACTGGCCCCTCTGACACCTCAGCTGGGGAATAGGAAGCTCCAGGGCAGGCTGACGATATACTCAATGGTAGAATCACACAAAACAGTAACACGGTTGTTAGTCCAGACCCTTTGTAACTACAGAGAGAAACTCATGACCCAGATTACACCCATTACAGTTTACCTTGGATAGAGAGACAGGGTCGCTTTCAAGGAACTGCTTGCTTAAAGAAGGGTCTGTGCTGCCCGAAGAAGCCTTCCGCTCCAAAATATGAACACTCTAAAAAAAAAAAAAAAAAAAAAAAAAAAGAAAAACAGGTAATTCAAGATAACAACTTATCATTCAATGTTACTTTTAAAAATACATATTAAGTAATGAATGAGTGATCATTATACTCCTTATATAAATATCAGCACCATGGCTCAAAACATACGAAGCGCTACCCCTGCATCACATACCTGCACAAATAATTTGTCTTCTGAGGCACTACACTTCACTTTCCTTCCTCTCTTTCTTTTTTTATTATTGGTTTTTAAACTAATTACTCTGTTCAGCCTAGAAATGACTGGGAACTAAAAAAAGCCAGGAAAGACAAGTAATGTAGTTCTCACGCAGGTATGCAAAGCGCTCCTAGCCAGACCTATTACGTTCTCTGCTAAGCTACAAGACACTGAGTATACCCGCCACGCACTCGGCACTGTCCTACATTCACGTCTGATGCAAACCATTGCACATATGGTATTACCGCTTCTAATATATTCATTACTACACCTTAGCATTTTGTTACTGGCTTCTCAACTGAGGTGAAGTAACTCATTACACGAGTGCTTTTAATAGATCACAGGTTTTCACAAGCTCAGTTACTGGGTCTCAGCTGATGGGCTTCCCAGTGAACATTTATGGAACACAGTGATCTTAAAACCATTACAGCTGTTTTTACAGATGACAATACTATAAAATTTTATATCTTCAAAGCACAGTACAAAACCAAAATGCATAATGTCACAACTAGTCCTGAAAAAAACGCTATTCTTGAAAGATATCTAAAAATGTAGTCCCATTTTCCAGAAATGTTTCACTCATATTTTGTAAAAGAAAAAGCATTTTTGCCTCAGGAGAAAATAACCACGTTCTGCCTGCTTGCATTTGCATTTCATTCTCTGTTGAAATTTTGCTACATCTCATGTTATTATTTGGTAAGAATTCTACCACCACATGTCAGTAGTATCTCTTTGGCATGAAATAAAACTATTTAATTGTTCTCTTTCAATTTGCAACTGTGAATGAGAATAGGAAAATATCAGGATTGTCTCTGTTGTCAGTGGAGATTAATAGGCATCCCTGCCACTACGCAACAATAATCGGCATTTACTTTCAGTTACTTTTAATTTAATTTTACAGTGAAGACTGTGAAAAAGAAGCAGTATTATGCTACCTGCCACATTCCCCTGGGCCAGCCAGGAAAACCTTTGTTTAGCTTTGAAATCCTCTGCTTTATCAAAGAAAGGCCAGTCTTGTTACAATGTCTATAACTAATTGGATGAGAAAAATGTTTGTATTTATTTAGCACAAGTTCCTACGTTACATGTCACATAATTTAATATGCTTGTTTGAGCTGAGCACCGCAAAGTTACTAATGATAAACTATAAGGTTTTCTCATGGAATAGATGAAATGCTACTTACACGTGCAGGATCACATTTAAACAATACAGAAGAAAAGCTAAATCTGCTCCTCCAAGGAAGATTAAAATGTCACTTGATTAGCATAATCAGGACGATTCCCAACTTTCTTGCCAGTTTTGTTTGGCAGGCAGGAATCCCTCCATCTTGAGATGGAGCCATGCCCAACACAGATGTTCTGAAGGTCTCCTATGTAGCAGCCCGTGCAGTTTGTTGTTACATAACTGCAATTTCATTTTCTACAATATTTAGAGTGGAGTAACCCAACAGCCCCAGGCTTGCCAGATTTCCAGTGACATTTCCAATCACATGATTTTAAGGCAAGGAGGTTTTGCGCCCTTTTTTTTTTTTTTTAATCAGCCCTCAGTCATTACAGTTCCACTTCAGTTGAGAAATACATTATTAGCTAACAGCACTTTAATGAATGCTGGACTTATTCAGCTATGTCTTTGGAAATAAGAAAATGAACACTTTTAAAATAAAATTGCCTTCTTTACATTCCTTACTTCAATAAGCGTTGCCTTGTTGTCTGTAAGCGTCTGCTTTCCAATTCTTTTCTGTCATGACCACCATTACACTGACACAAAATCACTTTAAATTTGTGACATGTCTCTAGCATAACATTAAGAGACATTACTTGGTGCAAAATGTTTTCCATTAATGCATGTTATTTTTCTGCAAAATTACAGCTAGAAATTACACAGTTATTTGATGTTTTGAAAAGCAGCTATTTTTATAATGCAGGAGTTTAGTTATTTAGCATCACAGAAATAAAAATTATTTAGATCTTGAAGTTATTATCATGGGGGTTTTTTTGTTTTGTTTTAACAAGAAAAACAGAGTTGGTAAAGGAAAAAGTTACAAAAACCTGAAGAGAAGAAAAGGAAGAAAGAGGCAGATCAATACGGCTTCTGGGTTTTGTTTATAACCAAACAGAAAAATGAATAATACATTCATCCAGGCGTATCAGTCAACCCAGTACTCTCACTCCTCTCATCCCAAGAACACAGGCAGAGAAAATCAGCCTCTGTGTTGCTCCATTCCAGACTCCCCTCATGCTTCAGGATTACTTGTGTGCTATAGCTGTCTTGGCCTGGAGAAAAACGCCAGCACCATCAAATTCTGTGTGCTCTTGGAAATTAAGTCAACAAGATTACAAGTGTAATTGAAACTGCTCTGTAATTCCATTGCTAAATCTTAGTCCTAACCATCATCCTTCCTTCAGCTTTGAGATTATTCACAACATACATTATATATGTGAGCACACATTTGCCCCCAAATGCCCCTAACAAGCCTACACACCAGGAACACAAATGCTGATTCTGCTCTGCATTTTTTCCATCCTGCTCCCCAAAGACACATGAGGGAGAAGGAAGCTGATGGAGAGAATAACAATATGATGTTTCCTATTCTCCTCTTCTCGGGAGGGCAAGAATGGAAAACATATTTCACAATATCTTTCTATATATCTTGCCAACTTCGTTTCTCAGTTAAGAGTTCAGTGACCCATTTACCTCATCCACCAGAACAAATACTAGCATGTGGAGCACCTGGTCCCCATCAGGCCAGAGGCTGAAGACCTTAACGTTTCTTAACTGAATTTGATTTCCCATTAAAAGAGAAGACATTCAACTGTTTTCAAAGGGAAGGCAAGGAAAGACAAGAGATACTGGGTAAGTAGAAATAGGAAATCCAGTGAAGGACAAGTCTGGCACTGATGCCTCCCCTTTCTGCTTCGCTGCTTAATTACTAAATGGAGTGAATTATATTTAATGCAATGAGTTCTCTCTACCTCGTAATTTATTCATTTCCAAGAAAAAGACAAGCCAGTGAGGAATTTATCACTCACATTGGACACAGACTCTCTTTAGTTCAGAAACGTGCACAACATGCGACTAACAGTTCATTAGTGACAAAGATTTGGTGGGTCAGTTTGTTTGCTCACAGCATTCAGCACTCTTCAACGCCCATAACCACGGGGCCTTACACATACGCTGTTCTACAACAGTAATTCAAAACAGAGCTTTTCTCTCTGGGTTTTTTTTGTGGGGTTTTTTTCAATCCAAAGGACTAACTGGTGCATCTTTTATTATCTGCTGTTCACTGGCATTCTTTCTGCAGCCTAGCTACCCCCACACAGACCCATGTTCTTATTTGAATTCCCTTTAGTATGAAGTACAATGCTTAATTGCTTTCTCTCAACTAAAAACATAGTATTCTCCACTTATCTGAAATACAGCAGCTGTAATAAGGTAGACACAGGTGCAGACATAGCAGTTTTTACTGCCTTTCAAACAAAGCTGTGATATATGCTGAGTTAACCTGCAGTCTTATTTGCAAAGGGAATAACCTTGAAACTTGCTTTTATCTTAGGCTGTTTCTCAGTCAGGTCTGGCTTTTCTTCTGCTGAGGAATAAAGACAGAGTCTTGAATATCATTGTGAGAGAAGGGTGAACACAAAGCAAACCAACCATGTCTCCATCAACTTATTTGTCCTTTCTTCTAGCACATTATTTTTAATTTGTATAAAGCAACCACAGTCCTATTCTCATCCTCTTGGTCTCTCCTACTGACACTGCTCCATAGCTGTTTCCAATAATCTTGGCTATCAACCAACAGACAAAGGAACTTAACAATACTTTATGAACAGCACATGTAGTTAATCTTTTCTTCTTCTTCTTGTAGCCCATGCTCCTCTTGTACAGAAATGTGCTTAAGAGCAACATTTTCTCTTTGTAACCTTTTTACTGAAAGACAAGTATATCTAAGCAGCAGTTCTGTAGCATATTAATAACACAGAGGTATGTATGTCTCTACTTCTTTCCTGGGATATGCAACATAAACACTTCTTGTGTTACAGAAATGTCAAGGATTTGTTAACTCAGGAGCTCTCTGTCAGCCCTTTCTGGAATGCCAGCTTTGTATTGTACGTAGCACTTCACGTCAATGCTTTAGGCTCTGGAAGCAAAGAAGCCTTTGCTTTTCAAGACACTTTTTGACAAACCCTGAAGAGAAATAAGCTCTTGCTCCTCTGAAGAGCTTCTTGGGAGAGAAGCATTAGCACAACTGGATAAAGCAGAAAAGAGCTATCATTGTAACAGCAATTTTCTCTTTGCCAGAGCGACGGTTTGGAACGACTACCACGTTGCAGCCTGATTCTTTAATGACAATCTTCTCCTTTTGCATTTTAGATTTTGACATGCTTTTCTCAAGCGGAGCAAACAGATAAATTCACAATATCTGACAGAGGGAATTCAAATGTTCGCTAATGATACACAGCTTTTTTATGACTATTGAATAATCACAATTAAAAGGATTGATGTTTCGCTAAATAGTCTCCGGCTAACTATTTTATTAGTGCTGATATAGTTAAAAAAAAAAAAGGAGGGAAAATAAAATCACATACACAAAAGAAAACCATTCCTTGATATGTTAATTTGTTAACTAACGAAAGCATTCTAGACATGTTGAATAGCCATCTTCAGAAAATATATGCAGTTTTCACTTTAATAAATGGTTGCAGGGCGATCTAAGGTAACACAAATTGTAGGCCAAAAAGTTTGACATTCACCTAAAAAAGTGTGTACGTTCAGAAAAA